ATTTTGGCTCATTCATGTTGCCAAAATTTGCAAGAGTTTCTGGAATAATTTAGATGAAAAATGATAAAGATAAAATTTTTGTAGAATGAAATTGCTCTTTGTTCATCTCTGAGGGGATGGTTCTGTCATTTGGTGGTTGAGAGTAATCACTGAGCTAGTCTTGTCAAAGAACTGTATGATATGTTGAATAGGAGCTTATGTGCTGGATGTGGCATTGACATTTGGAATTCTAGGTGGTCTTAGAGAACAATAAGTCATATTATCCATGTTCAAGTGTTTGATTGGGCTTGACAGACTTGTCTACAGCAATTCTATGAGCAAGGGGGCATCCACATACACTACAAGAAAAGTAAAACAAAACATCTAAACTCCCATATATATCTGTTCACTCAGAAGTCTCTACATAGTCCCTGCAGCAATTCAATGAGCAAAAACTGTACACGAATTTCTGACTTCTGTTGTTTGTAAGAAATATTTTGTTAATTTTCTTTTTCCTTTTTTGAATGTCATTTTTGGTTAGTGAGTGTATTTAGATTACAAGGGGATGTGGAAAAATGTTTTATGTTGAGAGGTTCATGGGCCTACCTTGTGTGTTGGGCCATCTTACGTAAATAGAGAGGTTGGTTATAGTTTGGGTCATTCTTTCTTGTTAGGTTTTGCAAATCCAGAAGCTTTATATTTAAAGGTTGATATGATGTTTGTCTGCAGGAAGATTTCTTTATTATATTGCATGATATGCTGGCTGAAATGGAAGAAGTTACTGAGCTTCAACCAGATCCAGATGCTTATGTCCCAGTAATGAAATTTAAGTATCAGGGAATATCAATTGATCTCCCTTATGCAAGTATATCGCAATTGATTGTACCAGAAGTGAGTGCAGAAGACCTCTCTTTCTTGTTGCATGGTTGTTAACTATATTGTCTGCTATTTTCTCTCATTTTGAGGTCTTCCCTTCTCACTTATTATCTTCATTTTCCCTTTTCCAATCCCTGCTCTGAAATGATTTTCTGGTTGTTCTATTGAATACACTTTTCTACTTTGGAATGTATAGATAGAATTTTTTTTTTTCAATAAAATAAATTATTATATTTTAATTTTGATAAATCATGCCTTGGGACAGATTGGCTATCTAAACTTTGTTTTGAAGTTTACTTGCTTTGTTTTTATGCAGATTGTAAAATGAAAACTTGTCTGGACTATGCACTTCTTAAATAACAGATCCTTGTATGGTTGTTATAACCATTGCATGTTTTAAACACATTGAATTCACCCTTTTTTGACATTACCGTTATGAAACTCTAGTATGCATTAATTGTTGTTAATTGGAACTATTTCTAAGATTCATTTATGCTTTTGATACTTTTTCTGGTTGATACCTTTCCTGCATTTAATTTTCCATCTTTTATAAACTGAAACTCATTGATACAGAGTTTGCATTTCTTGTTGGCCTCTACGCAGTTTTTGTCATCAGTACTGTGAAACTAACATCTTAACAGGACTTGGACATCTCAGATGGCTCTGTGCTCGACAATATTGATGAGCAAACTGTTCGAAGTCTAAATGGATGCAGGGTTGCAGATCAAATTCTAAAACTTGTTCCAAATGTTGAGGTGAACATATTGTCTTCTTTACTTTGATTGATTTAATAATAATTGGCTTAACAGTCTTGTAATCCTTTTGAAAATTGTAGCATTTTCGCACGACACTCAGATGCTTGAAGTTTTGGGCTAAAAGGCATGGTGTTTATTCAAATGTGAGATAGCATCCTGAAGTTCCAGCTTTTGTCACTGCCATTTCACCTTTAGATAAAGCTTCTCATTTTATTTCTTCTTTACCTTTTCTATATACGTTACTGGATTTCTTGGTGGTGTAAATTGGGCTCTTTTAGTTCCTCGGGTCTGCCAGCTTTATCCCAATGCAATCCCCAGTATGCTGGCCTCACGATTCTTCAGAGTTCATACATAGTGGCGTTGGCCAAACCCTGTGATACTATGCCCAATAGAAGAGGATGAGCTTGGTTTCCCTATATGGGATCCTCGTAAAAACCCTCGGGATCGAACCGATCATATGCCAATTATAACCCCTGCATACCCTTGTATGAATTCTAGCTACAATGTTTCTAAAAGTACTCTGCGGGTTATGATGGACCAATTCCATCATGGCAACAGTATCTGTGAGGTAAGGGACATAGAAGGTAATTTCTTATTTTCTCTGCCATTTCTGACTCCATATGACCAATGTTGTGCATGCCTTTTTGCTGTTTTTAAGGAGATTGAGCTGAACACAGCCCAGTGGAGTGCTTTGTTTGATCCTTATCTGTTTTTCGAGGCATAGAAAAACTATTTGCAGATTGACAAAATCTCGGCTTAGGCAACTTACTCTGAAGGTAAGTTTCATTCTTCTTTTCTGGTACCGAAATTCGTCGATGATTAGTGATCTTATGGACTTGATCATGATAGTTTTCCTTTCTAATCTTTGCTTTCTATGTCACATTGCAGATAGAACGGGACACATATGGCATGTTGCAGTGCCATCCTTATCCAAATGAATATGTAGACACATCCAAGCCGTGCCCCCATTGTGCATTTTTCATGGGCTTGCAGAGGAAACATGGGGTAAAAGTTGAAGAAGGCCAGCAATTTGATATACGTGGAACAGTTGATGAGTTTAAGCAAGATGTAAACATGTAAATGTTTTGGAAACCGGGGATGGATATTTATGTTTCTCATAGATGGGTATAAACGGTCTTGACTATTGAGGCACGCAAACCAGTAATCTGAAAGAACTTCTGAAGAAGATGCCGAAGGCTGCAGATCTCACTCTGCCGAAAAGCAGCTCAAGAGGAAAAGAGATTCCGAAATGGTAAATTCAAAGACAGATAAACCAAAGAAACGGGCTTCTATTAGCCCGCTGAGGCCATGGTCTGTTTCTCCAGAAAGTTATACAAGTAGGTCTGGTGTAACATCTCAAGCCAGCTGTTCTGGGGAGGTTAAATTAGAGTCTTTGGATTATTTTGAGACTGGATATACTAAGAGAGTGCTGAATCGGAAAGAGGGTGCTGATGATGATAATGGAGAGCTAGTGAAACCATGTAAGCACTTTGCACGGGCAGAAAATGATAAAAGTGCACCAGGATTGAATATCTGCGTTCAGAACCTCAGTTGCGATGTGAGTTCCTCCATTTCAGGATTTTGGGTTAGCGATTGGGTATAAGAATACTGGAAGTTGTAAAGATAGTGAGAGCTGGATCCTTGTTGTGAAAAGGGATACAGATTTTTATGTCAAGCCTTTTTGCATGGGTTGCAACTAAAAGATTAGGATCAAATAGTCAGTTTGTCCCTCCCATGCAAGAGGTTCGAACGTTGAAGGATATCAGACGATGCTGGAATGTTGTCTGATTCACTCTTTTCCTCCAGACACTGATTTTTTCCCATTCCTAGTTATTAGATTTTTTCATAGTCATCATTTCATCATTCTAATTTTTTGCACAGACAATCTTCTAACTGGTGTACGTGTGGTGGTTGATCCTGCACCACAGCATGTGCTACATCTCCAGTTACTGTGCTTAAGAACCTAATTCATGTTCTTCGTCCATGGCTTGGATACATGATCCTCTCTTCTCTATTTCTTCCCATCCATTGTTACTGTTTTGTTGGGTACCAAACTCTCACTTCTTATTTCCACTTGATTTGTATTGTAGCCGACTATTGCACTTGGAAGGACGGCGGAATCCCAGAATCGGGCTAGTTCTGAACCAGTGCAGAAGCCAGTGATGAGGCATGTTTTTTGAAACCGTATTTTTTGTGACGTGAATTCATGTTATCTTTACACTGTCCTGTTTGGTTGTTCTGTGTCATTTTTTCCTAGCAGATTGAGTCTGAAATCAACAGCATAAAATTTGGGAGCCAAGTCGTTCTATAAATCATTGGTATGCAAGGAGAAGAGGGGAGGAAAGGAATACCCCCCTGCTGCAACTTGGGAATGACCGCTTAATGTGGCCGGTTAGTGTGCGCCTCCCGTTTTCTGTCTTCTGTGCTGTTGAAGCTGTATTTGTATCACTATAAATCAAAAGGGGAAAAAAAAATGCTTTGAGCAGTGGAAGTTACTTTTGGAACAGAACTTGGTGTTAGGATCAAACACACAAACTTGGCAGCCTGTTATTTGATCAGCTTTGCTACTTTCTTTGTTTGGTGTTGAAAATCTTATGCCTTTCTGTTTAGACGATATGGAACAGCTTGTTTAATAAGGGTTAGTTTTGTGACCTGCATGTCTCTGCTAGGCCCTGTGACTTGCTAGTATGGCATCTCTCTCTCTCTCTCTCTCTCCACCAACATTGTTATTTTTTCTAAAAAGTGTCTTGATGGTGTTTTGATGCAACGAGGGTGGTTTTAGCCATTTCTATTTTCTCTGGATTGCGTTTACAAAACAGAGTGCAGGAGGAGACGGTAGGTTGCTTTACATAGGATGGAGAAAGGGCAAAAATAGTGCCTAGATGTTTGCAAGTATGAATGTTTAGTGCGGTGAATAAGGATGTAATCAGTTTGATTCAAGTCTGGGTTGAGAGAAAATTTACATCAAACTTAATTTTTGGTTTTTTTATGTTTCAGTTTTATCGGTTCAGTGTAAATGAGTGATTTAAAGGAGACTTTTAAAATTGTATTTGGATCATGAATTTGATTAGGGATTGAGAAATGGAAAGAAAAAATGTGAAGACAATAATATGAATAAAATATAAATTATTATTTTTTTGTTCCTCTTTCCATTTTTAAATTTCTATTTAAATTTATGATCTAAACAGAATTGATAGAAATTTACATAACTAATAAACGAAGAGAAAGGGTAGAGCTATTCTATAAATGCCTTTCTTCTTAACCTACTCACTTATTTTTTTAATGCTTAAAAAATTAAAATATAAAAAATATTAAAGTAGTATAATAATTTTGATCGGTCTTAGTGTAAAATTTTAAAAAGAAACTGAATTTTCCGAATTGTTATTACAGTTGGGAGAAGGTAGCTTGTTTTATTCCTAATCAGAAGAGAAAATCATCTTATTCCAAAAATTTACATTTGCTACTATTACTTGAGAGAAATTTTACATCCTTTGCATGCTTGATTTTGCAAAAAAAAAAAAAAAAAAAAAAAAAAACCCAAAAAAAAAAAAAAGCTACACTAGATTAACCTATGACTAATTTCAACCTCAAAAGCTGCAAATTTAACTAAAACTACCCTCATCTTCATCTAATCCCTCTATTATGATGATATGGATTTGATTTGTCAAGTGATTTTTGAAAAGTGAGTTGTCCCTCTTCAGAGTCGAATTCTGGTTTTGATGCAGATAATACTGGTGAGACTACTTATTAACTACTCTGCAACCAATTCCAACATCACACAATGCATGCTACACTGTCATCATCTTCATCCGAACGCCTGTAGCTGGAAAGGTATATGGCACTGTCAAGGAGTGGGGCAACATCATACTCACGCCCCGCGTTCTTTCCTTCGCTGCCCTCTACAGGACCACAACGGCGTAGAATTTGCAAAACCTCCTTCATGGAAGGCCTACTAGAAGGTTGTGTCATTGTGCATGCAAGCCCCAGTTTATAGACAGTGGTCATTTCTTCCAAGTAATGTGGCTCCTTGATGTCCTTATCAAAGGTGTGGGCAATTGAGTTTCCTTCTCCGTATTGGCGCCATGCCCATTCTGCGACGCTCGTGTGCTCATCTCCATCGTTGGGTTCTCTTCCCGTCACCAGTTCCAAGAGTACAACTCCGAAACTGTAAACATCGATCTTCTCATTCACTTTTCTCGTGTAGGCGTATTCTGCAACCAAAGCAACATTTTCAGTTCAAGTGGGAAAGGGAGAAAAAGGGGTAGTGTCTTTTTATTTCAGCTGAAAATTTTTCCCAAGAAAAGTTTTTTTCACGAAAACAACATTTTAGAAAACATATTTTGGTTAAAATATTTACCTAGATTTGATTGCGACCCTAAAAATGATGGTGTCAAATATTTTTAGCGAAAAAGATTTTTTGGAAAAAGTTCTTATATTTCTATAACGACCTTGAAAAATGATGACGGTGGTGGATCTAATAGCAGTAGCGGTGACAATAATAATAATGATAATTTTAGTAAGACTTTTACTTGTCTAGAAGGTTTAAAAAATGTTTTTTTTCCTTCAAAAAGTGAAAAATATTCACCAAAATCAATTTAGCTTCTAGTTGACTTTTGTTTAATATTATACCAATAGTCATAAAGTACGAAAATGTTTTTTTTGCTGAAACAAGCAGACTAATAAGAGTTAAGAGATGATGCCTCAAGTGGTCTTACCTGGAGCAAAGTACCCAATTGAACCAGCAACAGCAGACATGGTATTAGGCACATCAGACTTGGCCAAAATCTTGGCAAGTCCAAAATCAGCAATCTTTGCCTTGAACTCAGAATCCAGCAAAATATTGCTAGACTTCACGTCGCGGTGAATGATCGGCGGAGAGCAATCATGGTGCATATAACATAGTCCTTGAGCAGCCCCAACTGCAATCTGCAGCCTCGTCGGCCAATTCAACACCGCGTGGTGGACCAAACTACTCAACACAGTCGTGGAGCTAGTCCTCTTCTTCCCATGTAACCACTTGTCCAAACTCTGCTTCTCCATATACTCATACACAAGCAATTTTGAGTCATCACTCGAAATACAACACAGCAATTTCACTATATTGGAATGCCTAATTGTGCCCAATATCTCCACTTCTGCCAGAAACTCTTTCTCGAGCCTGTGATCTGACTTCCCATTGCTCCAAATCTTCTTGACAGCGACACAATCGCCTAAATTGTTGACAGCGATGCGATATATCTTCCCCGACCCACCACTTCCGATCAAATTGTTTTCAGTCAAACCCGACAAAATTATTTTCTTTGTGAAATCAAACCTTTGGAATGAGGTTAGTTTCCACCCCGCAAGGTCTCGCTTGATCTTCTTTCTCCGGTAGTCTTTGACCACGAAGACGGTTAATATAACAGTAGCTATGAAGAGAATTACAGCGAAAACAAGAATCACCGCGAGAATTGTGGGCGATAAGCCGTTGGATTTGCTGTTTTTGGTGAGACAGTTGGGGAGATTTGAAATTGGGGTTTTAGCACAAAGTTTTGAATTGTTTAAGAAACTGGTTTCATAGGCCAAGTTATCAAACTCATCCGGGATTTTCCCGGAAAATTGGTTGCAAGAAAGGTTTAAATTGGTTAGCTTCAAATGGCCTAATTCGGGCGGAATTTGACCGGAAAATTGATTTTCCGACAAATCTAGATTGAGAAGGTCAGGCAGCGAACCAAAAATTGCCGGAATTTGACCCGAAAGCTTGTTCCGAGCAAGATTCAAAATAGTCAGCGACTTCCATGACAAAATTGTCGATGGCAATTCACCGGAAAGTGAATTTCCATCAAGAATAAGGTTGCTTAGCTGAGAAAGAAAGGGGGAGAAGGAGCGGTTATCTCCACCGGAATTGGACCAGTAAATTGATTGTTACTAGCCTTGAACTCAACCAGACTCGCCCAAGAACCGATTCTGGTAGGAATCAGACCGGAAAACTGGTTGTTACTGATCTGAACCAGAGACAAATTCCAAGCTAATTGACTTGGAAGCGTACCAGACAAAGAATTGTTGCTCAGCATTAAACTCGATAGATTGCGCGATGTCCAGAGGCCTAATGGAACCTCACCGGAAAAATTGTTGTTAAATAGCTGAACACTACGCAAAGCTTGGCAATTTCCAAGCGATTCAGGCACGGTCCCGGTGAGAGAATTTGAGGAAGCCGCCAGGCCGAATAAAGTCTTCCCGGCGCATAAATTTTGAGGCAAATCTCCAGTGAACTGGTTGTCGGAAATCTCGAAATATTGGAGTTTCGAATGAAGACCGATTTCCGGCGGCAAAGTACCATTGAGTTTGTTTGTGAACACCCGGAAGGTCCCTAGGGCTGTGATTTGGCCGATGCTGGGTGGTAATTCGCCAGAAAGTTGATTCGAATGCAGAATCATGACTTTCAGTTGATTCAATTTTCCGAAGTCAGATGGTATCGAACCTGTTAAATTGTTCTCTGATAAATCCAATCCGATCAAATTTAGTGACTCGATTGGAGTTGGAATTTCACCGGACAAACTGTTTTTAAACAAATACACTGCACTCAAGTTTTTCAATTGGAACAGTCCTTGAGGAAGTGGACCATCCAGATTGTTTCTAGCGAGATCCAAGTGTTGAAGACTGGACAAATTCGCAAAACTATCCGGTATTTTCCCGATCAAGTTCGTCATCGTCATCCACAAGTACTCCAGCTTTTTCAAATTGCCAAACTCTATCGGAATTATCGATGGCGAAAGCATAGTATTATAAGCCACACCTAGAGTCACTAGATTCGCTAAATTTCCGATTTCGATCGGAACCGTGCCGTTGAACTGGTTTTGGTAGAGGTGCAAGGTCCGGAGCTCCGGTAACCGGCTAATCGCCTGCGGAATCTCGCCGGAGAAATTGTTGTCGCCGACGTTGATGAGCTGGAGAGAGGATAACCGGTCGATGTCGGAGGGTATTGGGCCAACGAAGAAGTTCTGAGAGAGGTCTAGGTATTGGAGACCAGAGCAATTGTACAGAACCTTAGGGAAGTCGCCCTGGAGGTAATTGTACGAGAGGTTAAGCACGGTGAGGTTTTTGAGGTCGCACATCAACGGTGGGATCGTGTCCGTGATGTTTTTATCGTGGAGGAGAAGTCCGGTGACTGTGCCGGCGGTGCACTCAATCGCCGGCCAGGTGCACGGCGAGGATGAGGAGTTCCAGGAGGCTGTCCACGGCGGACTCCGCCATAGCTTTTTGAGATTGAGTAGGGTTGTCTGGTCGGCGGTGGTGGCCGGGGACTGTGAAATTACTTGGAAGGGCATGAGAGTGAGGAAGAAGTAGAAGAAAGAGAGTGGGAGTTTTGAGAATGGTGAGGTCATTTTGGACATTTTTTGGGGTTTCAGTTAGTTAGTGACCCGATGGGTCTGCTATTTTTATTTCCCGGGAAAACAAGGTCTGACTTTCAGACTTGGTGAGCTATGTGCGTTTTTTATTGTTACTTATAAGCGTTGCAGTTTTGGCTTTCTTTATTTGGACCACACATTTTAATAATTTTTAGGATAAATTATAAATACATTTTTAAAGATTTGATTGAAATATGAATCATCTTATATGGTTTTAAAAATTACATCTCATTCCTTGAAGTTTCTAATTTTATAACAAATTGTTCATTTTATTAATAAATCATCAAGTCAATTAATAATTTTTAAAAATATTATAAATATGTTTCAATCAACAATTTAGATAATTATATGGGAAAATCGGTCTAATGTCCCTATCAAACTTTTAGTAATGGATTAAGTCCACAATCTGTTCTTTTGTAGTCTAAGGTCCCTCACCCCATCCCCTCTCCATCCACGTTGTCCTGAGTCCGAGCAACAAGCTGGTCTGCCGTATGCATGTCTCCATTATAGAGAGAGAAGCTGGTCGTTCTTTGTGTTGCCCTCTCCATCCCGTCCCTCATGCATGGTCTAGGTGTGTGGGTCTCTCCTTGCTGTGTACTCTCTCCTTTCTCTCTCTAAGCCGAGAGAGAGAGCCCGTGTACAACTCTCTGTAATCATGTTCGTGTATCCTCCTCTCTTGATGCCATGGAGCTGATTTGCAGAGAAACAAGCTATGGACTCTTTCGATTGAGATTTGGTTTGACAAAACTCTTTTTAGAACTGTAAAACATATAGCTATGAGCTTTAAAGCTAACTTGTTTGATAAAATTTTTCTTAGAAAAATAATCATAGAGAAAAACAATTACAATTTTCTCTAATTTGTTCAAAACACAGAGAAAATTATGATTTTTTTTTGTTTCTAGGTAGCCCAAATTTCTCTGGTTTGGTTTGATTTTGAATGACCAATAATAAAGAAGTTTAGATAACCAAGAAATATTTCCTGGTAGGTAACTAGAGAAATTCTTTGATTTTGAATGACCAATAATGGCTATGAGAAATTTGGAGAATCAGAAGCTTCTTCTACAACCATATATCCAAAGAAAAAATATTAGAGAGTGAGAGAGAGTTTAGGGTAAGATGAGACTTGAACTTACTTTGTCCAAAGAAATTACAGTGGGAAATCCAGAGAAATTTGGCGAGAATTTCTCTGGACAGTGGGAAGTCCAGATAAATTTGAAAAGAAGTCCAGAGAAATTTGGAATTAGGTAAGGATAGATATACCCTGGAAAATTTGTAGATAAGTACAACAAAAATTTATTAAATTCATTCAAAGAAAATGATAGGAATTTCCCAAACAATTGTAGAATTTCTGAATCAATATCAACAATATAGCATATTCAAACAAGATGAAGCACATTACAATTTCTCTGGAGAGAAGAGAAATTTCTCTGGAGAGAATGGAAGGCCAGAGAAATTTACAGTGGGAATCTAGGGAATGTTAGAGAAATTGGAAAGTCCAGAATTTCTCTGGACTAATTTTCTCTTTGAAGTTGAATTTTCTCTGGAAGTCTAGGGAATGACTTCTTCTCTTTCTTGTCTATGCTAAGGTATGGCAAGATCTTACTGACAACCACATCATCTTGTTGGACTTGATATACAAAGAGCACTAGGATTAGCAAACAGAATTTTGATAGCAACCCTTCAAAATTCTAATGTTGCTTACATATTACAATGTGGAATTTTTCCAGTTGAATTCAGTTGATTCTCTAAACTATCTGAATTTTCTCTGGATGTCTAAATTTTTTCTGGACTATCTGAATTTTCTCTGGATAAAGAGAATTTCTCTGGATGTTTGGAGAGAATTTCTCTGGATTTTCCAGAGAAATTCTCTGGACCGAATTTTCTCTGGATCGAATTTTCTCTGGATTGATATTGAAGGACCTTAGACATTATGAAAATATTGAGTGTCCTTTATGCTATAAATTCTTAATATCAGGGACCTTAAAAAAAATCCCCCTAATTTTATTCATGTATAGGAGAACAATTATGAATTTTATTTTTTTAGTTAACTCTATTAAATAAAAAATTCTAACAATGAAATATTTGTAATTTTTCAAACTACGGGGACAATCTGTACTTTAAGAAAATCTCAGGAGATATATTTGTAATTTACCCTAAGTTTTATTATTCTATCTGTTTCAAAATATTAGTTTTTTATTTTATTTTTTATTATCTTAAAATATTAGTCCCTTTTTAAAAATTAATAATTAACATAATATGAATTTTTTATTTTGCCATTTTTTAAAAATTCATTAACAAAACAAAAATTACAATTATGACAATTGATATTCTCCAAAAAAATGTACTATCAAAATGTAATTTTGAAAAATCAATATTTTTAAAGTGCAATAATTGTACAATCAAAAAAAGTTAAATTCTTCAAAGGAGACTATTATTTTAAAACGAAAGGAGTATAATTTTTCTAATGCAAAATTTTAAGAGTTAATTAGTAAAAAATTTATTTGTATAGGTCCGTATATTATTTAGTCTGATATTTAATGTCTTATGTGATAATTGCATATGTTGAAAAGCAGTCAACAATGGTGGTTGGTGGTAGTGAGGCAGACAAATTGGTGACATTTATATATTGGAAAATGACTGGTAACTCGAAATTCGTGGCTCGATTTTGGCTCATATGGCAAAACGACGTCGTTTTGCCATTTTTTTTTCTTCTTCTTCTTTTTCTTCGTTTTCTTTCTCTGCCTTTTCTTCTTTCTTTTCTTCTTCTTCTTCGTTGAACACAGGCGAGAGAGAGCAGAGCAGAGGCGAGAGACAGAGCTCGTCGGACACAACTCGTCGACGTCGTTGAACACAGCTCGTCGGCGTCGCAGCTCGTCGGCAGCTCGTCGCTCGTCGCTCAGCCCCGCCTCCGCCTCTGCCTCCGCCTCCGCCTCCACCTCCACCTCCGATTTTGATGGCCCCCTCCAGTCCAGTTCTTCTTCTCCTTCTTCTCTTCTTCTTCTTCTTCCTTCTTCTTCTCTTCTTCCTCTTCTTCGAATTCGGGCCAAATTCGAGCCTCCGAATTCGAGCTACGAATCAGAGCCGTTATATATTATATATGAAGGAGGGGGGTTTTTAACCCACAAATCTTTTAGAGTTCTAAGTTCCCAATTTAAATTTTATAATTTTTTATTTTTTAAAATTAAAAAAAAAATCTATTGACTATCTCTTATTCCAACAAAAATAAATAAATAAATAAAAATTAATATCTCTTCATTTATGACTTTCAAATGGAAAGTATATCAAATCTATATATTATATAAGTAAAAGGAGCTTCTAATGAGAAGCATTCTAAGAACTTCAAACGTTCATTCTAAAATTTCTAATTTTTTTATTTTAAATAATTAAAAATATTTTTATCGGCTAGCCTCATTCAAGCCAAAAAATAAAAAAATAAAAAAAAATTAATATTTCTTAATTTATGACTTTCAAATAGAAAGTATACTAATCCATTTCAAAATTCAAATTCGAGGGCTACTAAATATAAAAAGCAATCTATTAATTTACAATTTTACTTAATTTAAAATCATTTTAAGTTCATCATCTCTCCAAATATTTATCATTCAAAATATATAAAATATAACGCTCATTCTAAAATTTCTTATTTTTTTAAAACAACGACTTAGAGACACCATACTTTATATTCAGTAAGTTCATTTGATTTTAAATAAAAAAAAATTATTGTATCAAATTAAACGCTACTTTATGTGAATTGGACTAATCTATCTATATCTATACTATATATTATGTTCTTAATTGTCAAAAAAATGGCACGGAAATATTAGTCTATCTAATAATATCTATAGTTTCAGAATTTAAAAATCTTAATAAAGGAAAAAAAAAAAGTTATACGTAACTCATTTCTAATTTGAAATTTAAAAACATTTGAAAGAAAATTTTAAATATAATTGTAGTCTTATATAATTTCAAATTTAAAAAATATTTACTTCAAAATTTTATAATTTTACTTTTGAAAACTAAACAATATTTACTTCAAATTTTAAAGAGTTTTTTAGTGTTAAAATATTTATAGCACCTTTATTAATTAAAATAAAAATTTCACATGACATATGTAAACATAAATTTAAAAAATACATGTGTAGTGCAAATTTTTATACCATATCAAAAAATACATGTGCTGTGTTTAAAAATACATGTACTTTTAACTGTATATTTTCATTATATCTAAACCTTCTGTACGGGGAAGAAATAATTCTCCTCGTATAATCCTGTTGACCAAGTCCCAATTTTTACCAAAAATTACCCTCTCACCTTCTATATATATATATATATATATATTTAAATAAAAAAAATTTCTAGCATAAGATATACATGGCATAAAACTATTGGCTTATATAATTATTTTTTTAAACATAAATTAAAAAAGGAAAAATTGGTTTAAGATCCCTACCCAACTTTTGATAGGAGGAGAGGTCCACAATAATATGTTTTGATGGCTAACGTCCCTCAACCTTATTTTACGTTATAAAATACCTAATTTACCATTTTTTATAACATAAGTTTGTTTGAATTTTGGCAAACCAAATATTCTATTGCTGACTTCACGGTGGAGATTTTGGAAACTTATTTCGCGGCGGAGATTTTGTAGGGATTTTGCAAGTGTTGCAGTGGACTTGACGATGGAGATTACTACGATCGTATAGGTGTTACAGTGTGTTGATCGTGTAGGTTTTTCAGTGGAGTTGAATCAGGTATATTTTTGTTACCCAAAAAACAACTTAAGAGGGGGATGAATTAGGTTTCTACAAATTAAAATTAATAAAACCCCAATAAAATTAACTACTAGTACAACAAATTATTAATAAGCACAATGATGAACTTAGCAGTAAATGATCAAGCAAAATAACAATGAAGTATAACTAACATGCAGGGTAAAATCAAATGATTAACACATGAATATTAGATAGCTATAGCAGTAGTAGGAAAGTAAAGAGATTAGGGAATAGGAGACAAACGGATTTATAGTGGTTCAGCTTTAACCAAGCCTACATCCACTCCTCAAGCTTCATTTAAGATTTTCCACTAT